AGCCAACCGTGCTAATGGGAGGTTTGTGATTGATATCGTACTGCGGTAGCAGTCATAAGCCTATATCTAACACGAATCCGTTTTCTTTACAAATGTCAATCTGTAAACTCCATTATAGTGAGAATGTAATGGACGCAAGCGACAACAGCTTGCTCGTGCGAGTCACTGTGTGCTCGCACAGCATGCGTGCCAGGTGCCATCACGATCAGAGCGTGCAGTTGCCATCCCGGACAAGATTACAGCCTTCATCGGATGACGGGGATCGCGTTGTCCCTCGCTTCGTCCGTCCTTCTCAAAGCTTTGCACCTGAAATCGCCGTTAAACGTGCTACAGGGAAACGGAATCATGTATGCTGAACAAAAAAATGTCCATGCATAAAGCGGCATACTAAAATATAGATATCACCTAGTTATAGCGAGAAAAAAACGCAACACATTCCTCAATAATCAGCGATGTTTTGGGCCATAATCCTTCCTCATAGCACATGGCAGGAAGCCAGAGAGACATGAGATTATAGACTGCGCCAGACACCATCGGGCCTCATTAGAATTACATATAAAATATATTTTCTGATGACCAGTTTATAAATAGGAATCGTTACTGAATGGTCGCTATTGGTATACCGGACAAACACTTCAGTAAAAAAACATGACGAAATTAACTCGTTTACGTTCAGAGTCACATCATAAAATGTTGCTGGCACAATGCATGGGGGGAATGTTTGTTCTTGTGAAGAGGATAAACCAAGCGCAAGCAGCCTGGTCGTGACCTCTATGATAACGGAGGGCAGTGCCAGGCGTCATGACGGAGGGCACTGCCAGGCGTCATGACGGAGGTCACTGCCAGGCATCATGACGGAGGGCACTGCCAGGCGTCATGACGGTGGGCACTGCCAGGCGTCATGACGGAGGGCACTGCCAGGCGTCATGACGGAGGTCACTGCCAGGCATCATGACGGAGGGCACTGCCAGGCGTCATGACGGTGGTCACTGCCAGGCGTCATGACGGAGGTCACTTCCAGGCATCATGACGGAGGGCACTGCCAGGCGTCATGACGGTGGGCACTGCCAGGCGTCATGACGGAGGTCACTGCCAGGCGTCATGACGGAGGGCACTGCCAGGCGTTATGACGGAGGGCACTGCCAGGCGTCATGACGGAGGTCACTGTCAGGCATCATGACGGAGGGCACTGCCAGGCGTCATGACGGAGGTCACTGCCAGGCGTCATGACGGAGGTCACTGCCAGGCGTCATGACGGAGGTCACTGCCAGGCATCATGACGGAGGGCACTGCCAGGCGTCATGACGGAGGTCACTGCCAGGCGTCATGACGGAGGTGACTGCCAGGCGTCATGACGGAGGTCACTGCCAGGCATCATGACGGAGGGCCCTGCCAGGCGTCATGACGGAGGTCACTGTCAGGCATCATGACGGAGGGCACTGCCAGGCGTCATGACGGTGGTCACTGCCAGGCGTCATGACGGAGGTCACTGCCAGGCGTCATGACGGAGGGCACTGCCAGGCGTTATGACGGAGGGCACTGCCAGGCGTCATGACGGAGGGCACTGCCAGGCGTTATGACGGAGGGCACTGCCAGGCGTCATGACGGAGGTCACTGCCAGGCGTCATGACGGAGGGCACTGCCAGGCGTCATGACGGAGGGCACTGCCAGGCATCATGACGGAGGTCACTGCCAGGCATCATGACGGAGGGCACTGCCAGGCGTCATGACGGAGGTCACTGCCAGGCGTCATGACGGAGGGCACTGCCAGGCGTTATGACGGTGGGCACTGCCAGGCGTCATGACGGAGGGCAGTGCCAGGCGTCATGACGGAGGGCACTGCCAGGCGTCATGACGGAGGGCACTGCCAGGCGTCATGACGGAGGGCACTGCCAGGCATCATGACGGAGGTCACTGCCAGGCATCATGACGGAGGGCACTGCCAGGCGTCATGACGGAGGTCACTGCCAGGCGTCATGACGGAGGGCACTGCCAGGCGTTATGACGGTGGGCAGTGCCAGGCGTTATGACGGTGGGCAGTGCCAGGCGTCATGACGGAGGGCACTGCCAGGCGTTATGACGGAGGGCACTGCCAGGCGTCATGACGGAGGTCACTGACAGGCATCATGACGGAGGGCACTGCCAGGCGTCATGACGGAGGTCACTGCCAGGCGTCATGACGGAGGGCACTGCCAGGCGTCATGACGGAGGGCCCTGCCAGGCGTCATGACGGAGGTCACTGTCAGGCATCATGACGGAGGGCACTGCCAGGCGTCATGACGGAGGGCACTGCCAGCCCTGGAAAGAAGTGCACGCTCGATCGGGGTGCTCACCAGAACGGCTTCAATGACGATTAGAACCGGGGTTTTGAAGACAGACGCGACAGTCACGTATCGGCGCGCGTGTGTGCGAACCTGACTGTGGACCACGTCTCCCAGTCACTGCACGCAAAATTAAACCGCTACACGCGGGTCCGCGAATCTCCGTGCGCATGCGGAGACTGCACAAGCGCGGAGTCTCTGCACACGCGCGGAGTCTCCGTGCGCATGCGGAGTCTCTGTGCGCATGCGGAGTCTCTGCACACGCGCGGAGTCTCTGCACATGTGCGGAATCTCCGTGCGCATGCGGAGACTCTGCACACGTGCAGAGACTCTGCACACGTGCGGAGTCTCCGTGCGCATGCGGAGTCTCTGTGCGCATGCGGAGTCTCTGCATACGCGCGAAGTCTCTGCACACGCGCGGAGTCTCTGCACACGCGCGGAGTCTCCGTGCGCATGCGGAGACTCTGCACACGTGCAGAGACTCTGCATACGCGCGAAGTCTCTGCACATGCGCGGAGTCTCCGTGTGCATGTGGAGACTCTGCACACGTGCAGAGACTCTGCACACGCGCGGAGTCTCCGTGCGCATGCGGAGTCTCTGTGCGCATGCGGAGTCTCTGCACACCGCCGGAGTCTCTGCACACCGCCGGAGTCTCTGCACACGCGCGGAGTCTCTACACACGTGCGGAGTCTCTGCATACGTGCGAAGTCTCCATGCACATGCGGAGTCTCCGTGCACATGCGGAGACTGCACACGTGCGGGGAATCTGCACACGTGCGAAGTCTCTGCATACATGCGGAGTCTCCGTGCACATGCGGAGACTCTGCACACGTGCGGAGTCTCTGCACACGTGCGGAGTCTCTGCATACGTGCGGAGTCTCCGCTCTATCGAGGCGAGGGGTTGGGTATTGGGCAGCAGCAGCGGGCGGTCGCTTCACGCGGGGTGGCGCGTGTAACGCGATCGCTGCGCAGAGGCCAAGATCCACGCAGGGGAGTCAATGCGCTACTGCAGCTGGGGCGAGGGAGCGGAGGGGCTCGTTATAAAGGGGGGCTCGGTTTAAACGTCGTTTGAAGGCGTCGGGGCCCCCCACGTTGTGTGACGGCCCTGATCGCAGTGCGCGTGTTTGGTTCATGCGTAGAGATCCTCGCGCGGGAGGGGATGAACCACATTTGTTCAGCGTCTGTGTATAGCCTGCACAGACATTCACTCTGTTAACCTCACTATCAACAGCAAACTTGAAAAGGCAATTTTAACTCAAATCGCACAGCGGTTCAAGACACGAAGAATTAACCACATCCGCATCGACACAGACCGACGTGATTTACGCGTAGACAAATTATTCTCAGAAATGCCTTTGCCTGATTGATGCTGCTTGATGTTCAATATCCCTCCACAAATGTTCCACACGAGACATTCGGAATCATTAGTTGCCATATTAGTTCCTGTGAAAATAGACAACCGTTGATTCTAGAGGTCGCTATTTGAATAAGGTAGGTCACCTATTTGTATTATCAGTGGCCTACACTACTCTCCGTAAGCGACCTGCCCCACCAAGTGACTACTCGCGTAGTCTCAGTGGACAACCGATGCCACTCGCGGTTTTGTCGGAGCGAGGTCGTGGTCTCTGTGCGGAATCTGCCCAACCACCAGCGGCGCTGGGGTTACAGAGTGTGCATTGCCTTCCGGTGAGGCTGTGCCAACATAAATTGCGCACACGTCTCCAGAATTCCCATCAGCCAGGACTGTGTTTCATTTCATAAATCTGTACGTGACGAAGCATGGCACACTCCTGGGCCTCAGCTGGCACTGATTCCGCGCCTGCTGGCCCGCTGCTGCACTGCGCTAGCGGGGGGGGGGGGCAGGCCGCCTCGTCTGGGCAGCAGCGGGAAGGCCGCTCACATTGGTGGCGAGGCGTCTCTCTCGAGTCCTGTCTGCGTACTGAGGCTTGCGCATAAATAAGCACGTGGTGTATTTAAAGGACATCAAATGATATGAATACGTATTTATATCAATATATACTAATTGGATAGAGGTCTGTGTGTACTGTGTATGTATATGTGTGTATGTTTTCGTGTGTATGTACGTACATGCTGTGCCGGCTTCATCACAAACAGCACTTAGCCGCAAAGTCTGTGCAGCAGGATAAGAGAAGACTTTGGATTGCATAACGCAGACCGTGATTCATAGAATGCGTGAGTGGTGCTCTGCGTTCAGAGTATCTGTACATAAACATACACGCGTGATTACCATGAATGTGTGAATATTTAACGAATCGTATAATAAATGAATTTCTGGAAGTACAAATACCGTGCATCTCTCTTTGTTGTATATGTGCATTATGGGGAGCGGTGGCGCAGTGGTTAGCGCGACGAACCAGGCTACCCAAGTTTGAGTCCCGCTCATGGCTACTAACGCCAGTTACAATGATCTGAACGAGTCTTCAGCGTCCCCTAGGTAGACTCGGCCCTAAATAAGTACCTGGTATGGTGTGCAGTAAACGTCACCGCTGGCTGAGACAAATGTGGTCAGGTATGGTGCTGGCCACCCACCCCCTCGTGTGCCGTGCCGGTCTTCATAGGTGCTACTCGCTAACAGCACTCGCCCCAACAGTCTGTACTGGTGTTCTTCATCGTCACCTGTGTAGCTGTGCGTGCGTGCGTGCCTCCCGCGCGGCTTACTCGTGATGATCGCGTACACGACTTGGATGCCGCGCTGCTCCCACAGTCCGCGCAGCGCCGTGTTGGGGATCCGCTCCTGGATGCCTTCGCTGAAGATTCGCCGCACCGTGGCCTCGTCCCCGGCGCGGAACTCCCTGATGTGCGCCTCGCGGTGCCGCGCCTCGTCCGAGCCCGTCCGCTGCCACAGCCCGGCTGGCCGCATGCCGCCCTTCTCATCATCCCCCTCGTCTGCGATCAGCTGCGAGTCGCAGACCATGCTGGAAGCGGGACGAGGCATTCACGGCGCGGCAGCGAATCGTCGCGCGGCGGGAGCGGCGTCACAGGCGCACACTGCGGTATCGGCGACGCTCCGGTGACGCGGTCATTTATCGGAGCGCCGCTGCCGCTGCTGCTGCGCTTGCGATGCTGCTGATGCTGCAGCAGTAGCAGCAGCAGGGGCAGGGCTGGGGGAGGGGCGTCCCGTGCCGAACCCTCGGTGCAGCAGCGAGCCGTGCTCGTGGGGAGCCGAGAGAGAGAAGCGTAATGCAGCAGCATCAGCAGGGACGCACGGAGCCTTCTCTGCAGCTAAAGGCGGATGAAACACGTGGAGGCGGAGCACGCATTGGCAGTCTCTCACTCCGTGCTGCTGCAGTAGCTGTTGCTGCTGCTGCAGGACACCACTGCGGAGCCTGTATCAGCACCTACCGTGACACCACGAACTGCACATTGGCATCTTACAGATACTGCGGATTAAAGTGAATCTTGAACTGTGATGCGAAGTGCGCATACATAGGCTGTATGTAGCAGCGTGCTCTCAGCGCACAGAGCTGGCATTACGCATGTGAACATACTATAGGACGATGTTACCTTCGTTGTATTGGATCGTACTATTTCATTGTGATAAAGGTGATAATAGTAGTTTTTTTTTTTAGAAATTCGCGCAGTCGTCAAATATTTGCTGAATGACCACGGTGGTTGGTCCTTTTAAGGCAGAGTGATTGACGAATGTATGTATGTTGAACTTCTTTCGCACCGTACGTAGCCAACCGTGCTAATCGGAGGTGCGGGGGAAGAACAAAAACTAAGAATGTTTTGTCAGTCGCTTTCCTAATTCTGCACGAGATCGAGCGCACGAGAAAGAGATGAGACCACGCTGAGAGAAACGCCGAATCACCGGTAGACTCCCTGTTCAGACTTAACTCGATAACTGCTGAGCTGGCACACAGAGGCGTCCCGTGATCACGACTCACGATTGATGTGGATGGGGTCGGCTGCGACGACGTTGGAGGAACTGCGCGCTCCACGTATTACAGATTCCGAATATTTATTTATTTTTTGCTCAATCCGATGAGCAACGAAGCTCTTTTTTCACAGATGCCCACGGATAAAGAATGCGCACGGCAAGAGAGCGAACGCGCTGTGAGGAAAGGCGCAGGCTGGGTGGGGGGCAGGAGGGGGGCAGGGGGGGGGCTACTGCCCCCCACCCCACTCTCCAGGGGGGCAACAGCCCCCGCGTGTCCCCCCAGCACGCCGCGTGCTTTATTCGCGGCGGGGGGCGGGGGGGATGCGGGGTCGCTAGGCAACGCGATGACATCACACACGTGGTTGTCACAGACGATTATGGATGCTGCATTTTATTTAGAGTGCTGTAATAGTGTACGCTCGTAATGACATATCATTTGAATAAATAATGCCGTACTCGTTCGGAATGATTAATGATATTATTATCTTTGATTTTGGAAGGAAATTATTTGCGTGTTCTTTATTGTGTCGCCTTCAGGTGGTCCACGCGGAAAGTTGACATTGAGCAGGCCTCGTACCAGCAGCCTCGACTCGTCGGATTGGCCCCAGGGGATGGCAGTGTCCTTGCCGGGCAACTGGGCAGCAACTGATCATTCCCTCTGAATATACAGCTACTTTTTGCCTGTTTAAGGATGCACATGTTAACATTGATGCATATTAAATTTTGATTTAAAGCTTTCGTGACTGCAGTAATTCATATTCTTAGTTTTTTCGGTAAAGTCACGTTGAAGGGAAACAACAAAATAATAAAATATATATATAAAACAATAAAAAAATTCTCACGACGTTTCGACCATAACTCAAACGGTCATCACAACCAACACACCTGAAGATGACCGTTTGAGTTATGGTCGAAACGTCGTGATAATTTTTTTATTGTTTTATATATATTTTATTATTTTGTTGTTTCCCTTCAACGTGACTTTACCGAAAAAACTAAGAATATTGATGCATATTGTTATTATTACTATTACGCTTGTTTGCCCAACCAAGCCGCTGTTGAGTCTCAAGATTGTTTTTCAAGTGGGTCCTGCCAAGTTGCCACAGGAGGGAACGAAGTGCACGTGTCATCCCAGTAGAGTCGTTTGCAGGTAATTGTTTTTCAGCATTGGGATGTTGGGCAAGTACCAGTTTCAGTGTGTGTGCGAGGAAACCGGAGAACTCGGAGGGGCCCCATGGAGAACAGGGGGAGAACACACTTTGTTTTTTTCGGTAAAGTGACGTAGAAATAAGAAATAATAAAACTACATAATAGCATGCGACGTTTCGATTGCAACGCAAGCAATCATCATCAGGCACAGAAGAGCTAAATTTAAGAGAGAGAGGAAACACAGAACCGCAGACATATATACAGACACCTAAGTAGAGGGAGATAACACAGAGACACAAAGAGAGACACACGTATGGGACACAGAGAGACAGGGTCTCTGTGCCGAGGCCTTATCATGTAGGGGGAGACAAAGAGAGATGGAGAAGCACACTAAATCGAACAAGATTTAGTAAAATAACGTAATCAACCAGACCATGCGTTAATTGTGTTTTGACCGACCCTCTGTGTTGCATTATATTGTTTCCAAATCTTACTAAATCTTGTTCGATTTAGTGTTCTTCTCCATCTCTCTTTGTCTCCCCCTACATGCTAAGGCCTCGGCACAGAGACCCTGTCTCTCTGTATCCCATACGTGTGTCTCTCTTTGTGTCTCTGTGTTATCTCCCTCTACTTAGGTGTCTGTACGCTATTACGTAATTGTGTTATTTCTTATTTATACGTGACTTTACCGAAAAAAACAAAGAGTAATTCCTGCAGTCACCAAAGCGCCAAATCAAGGGGTAAACACAAACTCCATCCCAGGCGCTTCTTGCTGCGAGTCACGACTATTAACAACCGCCGCTCTGCCACCCATTGGCGACACTATGATACTGCATAGGCATGTCTCGTTTAACGAGCGAGATACGTTCCGTGAAAATTGCTCGGTAAGCGAAAACTCGTTAAACGATCAACGTTTAAAATCTTGATTTGATCAACGTTTTCCCATTGACGACTGCTATGTTAAAAGCTGAGATAAGCTTCAGCTCGACATGTTCCACTTTGAACAACTTTTTTTCACGTGAGAAATACAAATTACTCGATAATTTTTAAATAAAGTAAAACATCAAATGTAACACTTAACACACATGCAGAACCACAATACAAGATTCACCGTGTAGCCTTAACAGACTGTTGGGGCAAGTGCTATTAGCGAGTAGCACCGATGAAGCAGGGATGTGTGGTCAGGGGAGGCAGGGGAGGCAGAGCCTCACCTGTCATACTCCAATGAAAATATCTGTTACGAAAAGTAAAAAAAAATTAAATAAAATATATATTAAGATTTTTCCACATCTGTGTTATAAATGTAATTTCTGTACGATTCCAATCATTTTTATAGTAAAAAATCGCCAAATTTGCGGAGCTCCGCTGCAAATACAGGAAGAGACGAGAGGTGAGGCAGCGACGAGATCAGCCTCCCCTCTGATTGCGCAACCCCTCAGTAACTGGATGGAGCGCGGGCAATAAGCGCGTGCCTGTTACTATCTCAGTATGTCACCAATGTAATGTTTGTAGACCCCTTCATTTCATGTCCTCGCCTTCCATACTCCAGGTAACTTATTTCACGTATGTGTATAAAGATATTTAGGCTCGCTGGTCTCGTCATGAAACTGCAATGAAAAAGCACCAGGGGAGGCAGCTATCACATCTGCCTCACTGAGGGGGACGTGTCTAACACGCTCCCCTCCGTGAAGCCACGCCCCCTCCGTGAGTCCACGCCCCCCTCAGTGTGTGTGGTTAGGCACTGCCTCACCAATACCTACTTTACTTGGAATGGCACCTTCTACAAACAAAATGAGGGTACCCCCATGGGTTCTCCCTTATCACCAGTGAAAGCCAATGTTTTCATGGAGAAATTTGAATCAGACGCCATCCAGACTTCCACCCTCAGACCTTCCCTGTGGAAGAGATATGTAGACGACACTTTCGTCATTTGGCCACATGGCCTCCCAGCTTTGAACCTCTTCCTACACCACATAAATTCCAGACATCCCGCCATCAAATTCACCATGGAAGTGGAGAAAGATGGCAAGCTGCCATTCTTGGATGTTCTGTTTGAGAGGAGACCTGATGGCTCATTGGGACATTCTGTCTACAGGAAACCCACCCACACAGATTCCTACTTGAAACCTGATTCCCACCACCACCCGACGCAAAATAATTATCTCATCAAAACGTTATACCACAGGGCTCATTGCATGTCGGACCAACACCACCTGACCAGTGAATTAAAACATATACATCTGGCCCTCAAGAGAAACGGATACTCTGACCGTACCATCCGCCAAGCTGTTTCTCCCTCCATACAGAAACAACCACTTGATACTCCGGTCAAAACCATCACACTACCATATATAGCAGGCGTTACTAAAAAGATATCCAAAATCCTAAACAAACACAAGATCCTGGTCCGGTTCAATACAGTACACAAAATCCGTGACCTGATCCCATCCGTGAAGGATGTCATTCCTGACTTACAGTACCCCGGGGTTTACAAATTGAGCTGCACTTGTGGTGATTGCTATATCGAGGAGACGAAATGACATGTCTCTGACCGAATTCGCGAGCACAAATCAGACTTGAAACACGGCAGGACGAATTCTTCTGCCGTAGCTGATCACTGTTACAACGCTGTGGGTGATCACGATATAATTTTCTCCGATACCAAGGTCCTTTGCAAACCGACAGGTTATCATCAGAGATTTATCCACGAGGCAATTCAGATTTACAAACACAGACACAATTTCAACCGAGAAGATGGTTTCAAATTAAGCAACCATTGGAAAGATGTTCTAAATCGAACCAAACATGAAACTAATTTTCAGTGGTGCAGTATATTTATTCAGGTGGTGGCATTCCAAACTTTCAGGGTGGTGTATTATCATCTTGTGATAATTCCAAGCTTTGTTTGTGGTGTGTTTTATGCTAATTTCCTTTGTCAAGGCGTTTTCTGTTTACCCCCTCACAGCTTAAAAGGAGGCGACCTGCGCTTGGCTTTTTTCACTCCAACGCTGTCCGCTAGATAGTTTGTCCCTTCACCTGATGAAGGCCACTTTTGTTGTGGCCGAAACGTCGTGATTTTTGTTGTTTTATTTTTTACCTACGTGACTTTACCGAATAGAACCAAAGAGCATAGCCATTGACCTCACCGCACGCCACTGCTGTGCATGTGCAGAGACGCCGACTCGCGTTGTAACTCGGAGCCTTTTATCGGACACGGCACCAACACTTGGCCCGGGCCTCTTTCTCGCTGCTTGAAGCTCGGTAATCTCTTCCCCTTGTGCTCTCCCCTTTCATCACCGTCGAGGCTATTGCCAATAAACTGCAACTTGAATCACTGCCTATGAGATCTTCACTCAAAACTGCTCTGGAGGAGTTGTACACCCCTCGCTGCCACTGCTATTCAGTGGCCTAAAATAAAATAAAATGTTTCACTCCGGATGACCGCTGCAAAATATTATCTGTATTTTGATTTAGTGTGCTGATCTTAAAGGTGTATTGAAAAATGTGATACTCCGACTGATGCTCCTGTTGTTTGTGGAGTGACTCATGCAGCCAGCTATGGCTCTAGGGTTTGGTGTTACATGTTATTTATGTAGTTTATTGTGAAAATTCGGTCACAGTTCCTATGAGCACTGTTACATTGCTTTTATGGCTTTATTTTGGTGATTTCGAAAACGTTTTTTGCTTTGGCCATGTTTTTGTTTATTGTGGTATGGAGTTAGAGTGATGGCCTTAATCTAAGTTTTCTTGTGTTTGTTGTTGTTTGACTTGCATCCCACTGGGATTTGTTGCACACAGCGTTGGTGTACGGTGCTTTTTTCAGGAATTTTTTGATGTTTTTTTCATGGATTTTCTGTTTGCACAGTCACATAGTCACTTTAAGATGTTTTCTTGTTCATGTTTTTGTTTTTTGTTTGTTGTGGTTGCACCCGATTCAAGAGCCGAATGGCTCACAGGGCTATACCAAAATAAATGGAACTATGAACTATGAGGCCCCTCTCTCGACGCTTCGCTCGCCCCACTCCTTTCGGACAATCATCGTCCTTCGCTGCCAACGGTTGTTAACCATCGCCCCTCAACCCTCGCTTTCCACCTTTTCAGTTTGAATCTCCCCTCCAATCATTTTTAATCTTCGCCTCACGACCAATCGCTCTGGAGGCCTCTCTGCACCAATAGGAAGGCCTTGGTCTACTTGCTGACTTTCCGTCTGCCCGTACGATGTTGCCTTGGGCATTACACGCGCAAGAAGGTAGATTTACTGTGATGCAAATCACACCGACGCCTTCAAACTAAAGCCGAAGTATTACATCTTCACACCGTGGGATCGCCCCCATTCATTCACTCTCGTGGATTCCGTCAGGAGGGTCATTATACAAAGTTTCGAAGTAGGGGGCGACGGTGGCTATGCCCAATCCCAATAGAATAACTCCAGGCGAATATTTAGAAGAAATACAATAATTAGATTAGAGACGGACTGCCTTTGCTGTGACTCACAATGGGCATGTGTCACGATGCAGCGGTGCATGCCTGGTCTAGCTAGAATAGTTTGATTTGTAGACCAAAGTGGTGCATAATAAATGAGTGGAAACACAATCGCATTGCTCTATATTTTTTAATAAAACGTATGTTTTGCATAAAATGGAGAACATCTTGGATTTTGTTTATCATTTAGATATTATTTGCATTTTAGAAAACATAGATCGGAAGCATGAATATATAAACTGAGCTCAGTTTATGTAGACCATCTATGAATATTAAGTGGCTATCATTGCGTTACTTTGGTCCTTGCATCACCATTTTAACGAATAATCGTGCTCCTATAAGTGCATCAATTAAAATTATACCGTCGATTCTCTTTGGTTCTTTCGGTAAAGTCACGTAGGTATAAAATAAATCACGACGTTTCGGTCTGCTGCCTCAGCATTGGCAGCAGCAGACCGAAACGTCGTGATTTATTTTAGCAGCAGACCATGATTTCCCACCTGATGACGGACGCTGGTGTTGCGCCCGAAACGTCGTAATTTATTTTATACCCACGTGACTTTACCGAAAGAACCAAAGAGAATGGATTTCTGCAGTCACGAAAGCTTCAAATCAAGATTTTAACGTCGATTTTTGTTTGATGGCCAATTTAGTGAACCATAGTTTGTTGAGTTAGACCACGTGGTAGTTTTATGCAAAGCTTCCTGTCATTGACCCTCCACCACCCGACAGGATTGTTACGTTTAAAGACAAGTAAAGTATATATCTATTATTTATACGTGCCAATGTATTGGCCAAATTGTGCTCGCTGGTGGTGGCTGCAAGACTTTCATGACGTGTTAATGTTGTGCTTCAGTCATGAAAAGTCTCAAGCAAACATTTTTGATTTTTTATTAAGGTGTTTATCACTTGATCATTGGCAACTATTGATGTACCAATGTATACGTCTGTTTACACAACTAATCAGAATTAAAAAAAATGCAATTCTCGTCAGGCCCCGCAGTGTAAACTAGCGCGGTGTCCAACTCGCTGTATCCACCCTCTCTTATGTGCTGTGACGAAGGGCCATTGCCCGAAACGTCGCCTATTATACGTATAACAAAAATGTGCTCTTCGAAGGCCAGTGTTGTGGACGAATCTGTCGGTTGTCGCTGCGCAGCGTGATAAAGCGCTGCGTTATAAAGCGTAGCGTGATAAAGCACTGCGTGGCGTGATAAAGCGCTGTGTTATAAAGCGTAGCGTGATAAAGCGCTGCGTTATAAAGCGTAGCGTGATAAAGCGCTGTGTTATAAAGCGCTGTGTTATAAAGCGCTGTGTTATGTAGCGTAGCGTTATAAAGCGCTGCGTTATAAAGCGTAGCGTGATAAAGCGCTGTGTTATAAAGCGCTGTTATAAAGCGAAGCGTAGCGTGATAAAGCGCTGCGTTATAAAGCGTAGCGTGATAAAGCGCTGTGTTATAAAGCGCTGCGTGATAAAGCGTAGCGTAGCGTGATAAAGCGCTGCGTAGCGTGATAAAGCGCAGCGTGATAAAGCGCTGCGTGACAAAGCGCTGCGACATTGGCATCGCAGAGAACAGTGCGGCGACGTCCATGGGGGGGTTCCCCCTCCCGTCGTCGTCCAGGCGGCGTCAGAGCCGCCCCGTGACGTCACATCCGTGACGGAAGGCGACGCGCGCCTGCGCGTGCGCGTCACCACCACTCGGGCCTTCTCCTGCTGCCCGCTCCGTGCACGGCGAGCGCCTCGCGGCGCCTCCTCTCCCCGTCTCTCTTGTACCTCTCGCCATCACCACCATCATAATCTCCCTCCTCCCCCACCCCAGCCACTCTCTGCGTTGTCGCTCCTCCGCGTTCCCGCGCCGTTCTTCCTCGCCGCTGATGTTAGCGTCATGAGCTCGGAGTGCGGCCCGGGACTCGCGGAGGAGGAGGAGGTGGCGGCGGCGTCGCAGCAGCAGCAGCGACCCCAGGAGCAGGCGAGGGGACGGGGTCCGAAGCGGGCATCACGACGAAGACGGCGCGATGGAGAAGACCCTCGTCACCCGCGCGTGGTAAGGACCTCGTCTCACGGCGGGCAGGGACCTAGTCTCACGGGGCAGGGTCCCAGTCCTACGGGGCAGGGTCCCAGTCCTACGGGGCAAGGTCCCGGGGTTAGGACCGATTCTCACTGGACCGAAACCACAGGCCGGAGGCCCGGTATCACGGGGGCAGGAACGCGGTGACACGGTGGCGACATCGCTAGGACAACACCGTGCCAACAAGGGCAGAATAAGCGGTACAACAACACCATCCATGATGGGGAAGACGCTGTGAAATTCTTGAGAGAGGGAACTGGGCATGGCGCGCATTCGGAATTTGAATGGAGGTTCTCAACAGAACTGTTAATCTCCGGCAGCCTGCACCACCACACACCCGCGACTCGTCGTGTAACTCACGGCAGCTAACGCGCGGCTGTACCGTGCTGCTCGGGACGATGGAACTTTGGGGACGGATGCTTTTTTTACAGTCGCAGCCGTTCACGTTGCATGGCTGCTTAGCGGCCATAACGGTGACGTGACCGCACAATTATGCCCCGATCATTCGCGTTGTTGTTGTTTCACTCTGCGTGGCTCTTTGTATGAGCTACGTTTTACTGGTAGGAACGAAGTTGTAAACTGAGTGTACTAGCCTGCAATAGATTAATGTGTCCGTCCGTCCCCTTTCAATACTTTAACGAAGTGAAATCTCGTGCTGTTGGGTGTAAAATCAGCAATAGACAGCGCAGAGACTTGTCCTACCAGCCCACCCTGCAGGGACCTGTTAAATGCACGCACGCACACACGGCTAAAACTGGAACTTGAAACTCGTTGATGGGTAGCCTGGATCCGGGAGGGGGGAGATGCGAGAGGTCGCAGAGAGGTTCGGGACGGCGGTGTCTGAAGACAAACCAACCACCTTCACCGGTTATCGGCGTTGTAGCTTTAAGATGAAGTACTTGTGGGTCATTGTTGATGCATTAGTGTACCGTCTAAGTTGAGGTTTGAATCTGACGAGAGTGGATGTGCGGTGGTACGTCTTTGGGTGAAGTAAGTTGTGGGGATGCGGAGCAGCCCATGTTATGTTTCGTTGCCCTACCGCAGTCTACAGCTGGAGTTATGTGTCCCGTACACAGCGTTGCAACTGCCTGCAACTTAATAGCATTATTTTAAATGTTGTGCCGCATCCACCCCACGTTACACGCTGCCGCTGCTGTTTCGCAACACGGTGACATGCGACTGAGTCACTTTGGGCAGAGCCACGCGGACAGAGGCTGGGAGACTACTCTGGAGTCCACTCTCCCCCATTGCCTCCCTCGGGGTTCGCAGACAAAGCCTGGCCAAAGAGAGGAAGGAGGAGGGGGGAAGAGGAGGGAGGTGTGTGCCCTGCGTAGCCATTGTGTACAATGAGACATTCTAGGTATCGATAATTAACGTGCAGGGGCAGTAATTAGGCCGATTGCTAATTACTTACCGGGGGAACGTCGAACTCGAAATGCCGTCGTTGTGGGTTTTCTATCCAACACAACCGGTGTGCTGAACTCGTCACGAATTAGCATGTGTTGCTGGCGTGACAACCCCTTACTAATTGGGTGTGTCGGGTGGTGGCGGGTTTAACAACACATGTTTACGCGATCTAACCCAAAAAACCTCTGAGGGATAAATTAGTCAGCTCAGTGCTCTTAAAAAACAACACTCGTGAACAATTGTAGCCTTTAAAGAAGAGAAACATAATCGGCGACATTTCAGCTAAGTGGCCCTTCTTCAGAGCGCTTACATTTGTAAAAAAAACCCCAGCCACATCGGATTAGAATGACATGTTTGGTTTGGTACGGTGCGAAAGAAGTTCTACTTAAATGAACATGTGAACCCCAAGCAGCCATATGAGTGCCTGCTGCTTAGCGATGATCGACTTCAGCATCGGCGTGGACAGAGTTGTGACTTGTAGAGCCATGGCCATCCACCGTTAGTGCTGCGTCATTTGGACAACAACATCCACTTAAGCTCTCGGGTTTATCATAGGGCTGAACGGTTAATCGATTTCAAATCGAAATCGCAATTTGAAACAATTCGATTAGCAAATCGCAAAGGCTGCGATTTTTTGCGATTTGAAAAGTCCTATTACTTACTTATTGGAATTGTTTTATTTTTGTTATAACTTTATTTAACTTAACAATTGTTCTATGTTTGATTGTTCTTTTTCAATTAAGACATTTTAATAAATACATGTTGGAAGCAATTCATATATTTTAAGTTCTCATCCTTGCATTAGAATATACAGTATAGAGCAATTTAAAGCTTTCGTGACTGCAATGATTCATCTTCTTTGGTTCTTTCGGTAAAGTCACGTAGAATGAGAATAAAATAATAAATTGATAAAATAAAATAACACAATAATATTCTCACGACGTTTCGGCCACAACACAAGCGGCCTTCATCAGGTGAAGGGACGAGACTGTCTGGTAGGACAGCGCTGGAGTGAAAGAGCCACGTTCAGATCATGGCTTTTAAGCTGTGAGAGGAACAAAGTGCCTTGACAAAGGAATTAGCATATAATTTACCATTGAAATGGCTGAATGATTAGCTTGTGACTGGTCACAGAAATAGTTATGTTAAAAGTTAAAGCATACACATCTGCAGAGGCACCCCTTGACAATGGAATTAGCATAGAATTTAGCATTGAAATAGCTAAGTTAAAGCATACACATCTGCAGAGGAACCCCTTGACAATGGAATTAGCATATAATTTAGCATTGAATTAGCTGAGTGATTAGCTTGTAACTGCTTACAGAAATAGCTACGTTAAAGTCAGACCATACACATTCACCGAGGCACTTAGTACAAATCAAACAGGAGAATTTAGCATTGAAATAACTAGGCGAATTTAGCATTGAAATAACTGAGTGATTAGCTAGTGACTGGTCACAGAAATGACTATGTTGAAGTCAAGGCCTACACATCTGAGCTATTCACAGTACTATATAGTGAACCAATAAAACACTAAAATATAAATTACCTTAATGTTATCAATAAACTCTATATTCTCCAATCAGCTAAGCTACCAACAATAAGTCGTTATATATCACAATGCTATATGGCGAAAAAATGGGTGGATTCTTACCCTCAACTTTAGCACCACGGATAGCTACGGGCCCCGTTCAGACGGACGAGTTCGTCCATGGTCGGAACAGAGGAGGGGGAGAGAGACAGCTGCGAGGCCCTAGTATACTCCATGTTGTAAAACCATACCATTAACCGTGGTGTGAGAGGTATTAAGAGGCAATGCTGGCGAAAGAGCTGCGGTCTGAAGGTCATCGTAAAAATACAATTAATTAAGAACAGAAATGATTTAAAACATCTTTCCAGTGGTTACTAAGCCAGAATCCATCTTCTCGGTTGAAATTGTCTCTGTGCTTGTATATGTGAATGGTCTCATGAACGAATCTCTCATGGTAGCCGGTTGGTTTGCAAAGAACCTCCGTCTTGGAGAAGTCAATGTCATGTGAGCCCACTGAATTATAACAGTGATCTGCCACGGCAGAGGAGTTCGTCCTACCGTGTTTCAAGTCTGCTTTATGTTCGCGGATGCGGTCCGAGATATGTCTTTTGGTTTCTCCAATGTAGCTACTACCACAGAGGCACTTTAGTTTGTAAACGCCCGGGTACTGTATGTCTGGAACAGCATCTTTTACAGATGGAACTAAATCACGGATTTTATGTACTGTGTTGAATCGGACCTGGATCTTGTGTTTATTCAGGATTTTAGAGATCTTTTTAGTGACCCCTGCAATGTAGGGTAAGGTGATGGTTTTGAGTGGCTCCACAAGAGGATCCTTCTTCATGACTGGAGTGATGGCTTTGCGGATTGTGTAGTCGGAGTAGCCATTAGCCCTGAGAGCCTGGTGTACGTGCTTGAGTTCACTGGTAATGTGTTCCTGGTCGGAAATGCATTGGGCTCTATGGTATAGAGTCTTGATGAGGGAGTTCTTCTGGTATGGATGGTGGTGGGAATCCGGTTTCAAGTAAGCATCTGTATGGGTAGCTTTCCTGTAGACAGAGTGGCTCATTGAACCATCATGTCTCCTTTTAATTAAGACATCCAAAAAGGGGTAGTTTGCCATCTTTTTCGACCTCCATGGTAAATCTGATGGCTGGGTGTATGGAATTGATGTGGTCGCGGAATTGGTCTAGAGCAGGCTGGCCATGTGGCCAGATGACAAAGGTGTCATCAACGTACCTCTTCCATAAGGTCGGGCGTAGAGTGGCAGTCTGGATGGCGTCAGTTTCAAATTTTTCCATGAAAACGTTGGCTACAACTGGAGATAGGGGGGAGCCCATTGGGGTGCCCTCAGTTTGTTTGTAGAAAGTTCCATTCCAGGTGAAGTATGTGTTGGTTAAGCAATGTCTCACCAGGGGGGGTACATCAGTATGCAGTCCTTGATGAACCAGGTCTTCAATGATAGCGATGGTGTCAGGTACCGGGACTTTGGTGAACAAGGACACCACATCAAAACTGACAAGCAGGTCGTTTGGGGACAGGGAAATGCCTTGGATTGTCGATACCAGGTGAGTAGAATTTAGTACCGCAGAGGTGGTTTTTCCAGTGAAAGGTCGCAGTATATCAGCAAGAAAACGTGCCAGTTTGTAGGTGGGGGAGCTGATAGTAGAGACGATGGGACGAAGGGGTGTATCTTCTTTGTGTATCTTTGGAAGGCCATATAATCTTGGTGGTCTGGCAGCAGAGGGTTTCAACGAGAACTGTTTGATCTCATCAATTAATGCTGTTGAATCAGAGATGATTTTGTTCGTTTTGGTGACCAGGCTGTTGGTGGTTTATTGGTTCACTATATAGTACTGTGAATAGCTCAGATGTGTAGGCCTTGACTTCAACATAGTCATTTCTGTGACCAGTCACTAGCTAATCACTCAGTTATTTCAATGCTAAATTCGCCTAGTTATTTCAATGCTAAATTCTCCTGTTTGATTTGTACTAAGTGCCTCGGTGAATGTGTATGGTCTGACTTTAACGTAGCCATTTCTGTGAGCAGGTACAAGCTAATCACTCAGCTATTCCAATGCTAAATTCTATGCTAATTCCATTGTCAAGGGTTGCCTCTGCGGATGTGTATGCTTTAACTTAGCTATTTCAATGCTAAATTCTATGCTAATTCCATTGTCAAGGGGTGCCTCTGCGGATGTGTATGCTTTAACTTTTAACATAACTACTTCTGTGACCAGTCACAAGCTAATCATTCAGCCATTTCAATGCTAAATTATATGCTAATTCCTTTGTCAAGGCGCTTTGTTCCTCTCACACAGCTTAAAAGCCGTGATCTGAACGTGGCTCTTTCACTCCAGCGCTGTCCTACCAGACAGTCTCGTCCCTTCACCTGATGAAGGCCGCTTGTGTTGTGGCCGAAACGTCGTGAGAATATTATTGTGTTATTTTATTTTATCAATTTATTATTTTATTCTCATTCTACGTGACTTTACCGAAAGAACCAAAGAAGACAGTATAGAGCAGTTGATATTTTGATGGTATCATGTGGTAATGCTCCATCACATGTGTAGTGACATCACGGGATGTCACTGTGTAATGTCGGCCCTAGAGAGGCACGGCGTGCGATGTTATTGTCATTGCGGACACCACTACGATGTGGGTGTAGTACCGGCCCTAGAGAGGCACTGCGTGCGATGTTATTGTCATCGCGGACACCACTACGATGTGGGTGTAGTACCGGCCCTAGAGAGGCACTGCGTGCGATGTTATTGTCATCGCGGACACCACTACGATGTGGGTGTAGTACCGGCCCTAGAGAGGCACGGCGTGCGATGTTATTGTCATCGCGGGCACCACTATGATGTGGGTGTAGTACCGGCCCTAGAGAGGCACGGCGTGCGATGTTATTGTCATCGCGGACACCACTACGATGTGGGTGTAGTACCGGCCCTAGAGAGGCACGGCGTGCGATGTTATTGTCATCGCGGGCACCACTATGATGTGGGTGTAGTACCGGCCCTAGAGGGGCTCGGTGAGCGCTGATCGATAGCGCTGGATGGCACCACGCTCGGCGTGCAGTGCCGACCCCTACAGGATAGGGTTTGGGAGTGCCGGCCATGGAAATAGGGTTACTAAAGAACGTGACCCGTTGAGTCTACACAGGGGCCCCCAAGTGGGGGCTAGGGGTGGTCACGTGTCAGGGTCGAGATCCTGCTCAAGGATTCTCGAAGGTGGTCGTGACCAAGGGTGGAGCTCGCCAGCCACGCCGCAGAGGATATAGGCCGGGTCCCCCAGAGGGACTGGCTGTTGTTGTTCATCCTGAATAATCCTTCGTCTATGTCCTACGTTCTACCGAGTCTCCAACGTGGACCTGGACCCAAGCTGTGGTCCGGTCCGTAGTAGCTAGTTACGGTGTAATTAGTGTAATTAGCCTGGTGGTCCACCACCATAGGTTGTTATCCTATTGAGGGGCAGTTACCCCGTGTGTTGGTGTTACTAAATGTGTTGCCTCCAAACAGTACGTCTGCGACTCAGTTGAACTCACTACACTTGTTTTAAATATATTACACAGTGAATATTGAACTGAAGCTTGACTTAAACATTTTTTATTGCAAATCAAATCTCAATATCTGTCAGAAAAAGCGCAATTAGATATTTTCCCTAAATCGTTCGGCCCTAGTTTATAGGTAACTGCTTGCCTATAAAATGTTAGCAGCCATAAGTGGTGTAAATTCCACATTGCTATTGTAAGGGCCTATCTTTTTGTAAGGACAACCCATGCTGATATTTAGCATAATGTAAAAAAAGGGAACGGTACAATGACCGTTGCCTGTTCCTGTGCTATGTGTACATGCTCTCATTTAAGGTGTAATTCCTATAACACTGTCGGCATAACAACATACAATACTCTATACATTATATACATAATATAATTTTGTTACAGTATATCACAGTGCTACTGTTTGAAAACTCATCTTTGCATTCAGTTGTGTTGTCTGCTGTGGTTTGCAGTGTACCGTACATATGGTAGTACAATACAGCACCATGGGAAACGGGCACATGATATTACGACCACTCATGCCGAGTTATGGAGTGCCGTGGAAAGAATGTTTCCTTGGCCTTTTTGTGCCGTCCCAGTTGAATGATGTAGGATGGGACTGAATGCTTGTGCTCGGCAGGTAATGTTGCTGCCAGTATTTGTCCGTTGCTGTAACATACCGATGATCCCTTTATACCCTGCCACACTCCGCCCCCGGACTACCGTGGGTCAATTTGTAAGTGGCCCACGGTGCCCGTTTTTCCACGAGCACGGTCGACGTTAACACCGATGGTGTACGGGGCTCTGTTCCCAGCTGAAAAAAGGTTTTGAAAATATTGGCTGACCGTGCTCGATTGCGTTTGGATTCGTGCAGTCCTCTGGTCCTTATGCATCTCGCGTGCGTTAAATGTTTTTGTTTGCAGTGTTTGTCTACACCATTTCTCGCATTTTCTTACAGTGGAGAGTTCGTCTTATCAGTGACTCCTATTATCTGCAGCCAGAATATATCAGCATATATGCCTATTATCTATTGGATAGAAAGCATCTGTAATCTACGGCTCTTTCACAGGTAACAGAAATCGCCCAGAAGTGGTGGCACGCAATTGCGTGTGTTTTTGTGGCACCCAAGCAAATGCCGTCGTTAGTGAATTCTGGTAATCAGCTTTTGCAGAGAATAGGTGTCACGTGACATTTTTTTCCGAATATCCACATTTATTTACAGTCGTCTTCCCCTGTGGAGTCATGATAGTGATGGATATGATAATTATGGTGGCATTAATGATGGTGTTGGTGATGTGATTGATGATTTGATAATAATAACTCTGATTTATAGTGCACACAACAGGTGGTGTGCAGCAAATTCCTAATGTGATGCCTATTGTTGATGTTCTTATTGTCCCTTCAGACACGCAAAAGGAAGTTACATCACAGCGGTCTGTCAGGATCGACGCGACAGATTTGGGACAACCCTGCAGATATGGAAACTCACGGCTCTATCCTGCTGCCAAATTCAGAAGTGGAACATGTAGGTTAGTATTTTTGTTTGTAAAAAAATATATTACAGCAACAGCCAAGTAGCCGTGTCCCACAACCAAGCAATATTATTTAGTTGGTGGAGAGGGCTCTTGTGGGATTATGTTCACAGATGTGTGCCACAGCAGTGACTAAACTAGAGGCTAACAAAGTTGTGGTAGAAGTAGCCGTGTGGCTCGGAGACCAGTGCACTGGGACAGCTACTCTGAAATCCTGGGTTTGAATCTTTCGGTGCAGCTGCCCATGATTAAACCAGGCCCGCTAGCATCGCAAGTTGACTGCAGACAAGTTGGGCTTTGCATGTAATTTGATCAAAATATCTGAGAGATAAACATTAATTTGACTCGGTGCAACAAATAACCTCCCTCCATAAAGTCTCACCCTCTTTCCTTAGATGGCATGACATACATATCCTCCTTTAGATAGCGTTTATGCATGTGGTCATGGTAAGTCATTTTAGACCTTGAAAATTGTATTTCAGCTAATGTTATTGATACCATGTAACCTCACCAGTTGATGTGCAACTCACACTATCGCACCTTCTGGCTTTAGAGCCTTCCCTGTCTCTCTGCTACTGCACTAATCTGCTGCACCATGGCTGTGGTGAACCAGCCCGACGTGTCTCAGGGAGCCCTAGGTTCTTGCACCATAGAAGCTGAGCAGCGCCACTGACAGCACACACAATGAACGAGTCGAGCCTCGTTACAATTCGAGTTTGACGTTTTTGCTGATTAAAGCGACACGTAATGGGCACCTCATTAGCCCGGGCTTTGTCTCTGCTTGGCCTTGTGTCAGATTTGGATTGTTTGCGAGCCCAGCGTATCACGGATTGGTTGCGGCTCGTCACGGCAAATAGCAAGTGGAAAACCAACCACACCGTGAGAGCCCCAGACTGGCTCAGATGTGCCAGTGGAAAGCGGTAGACTTTGTCACCAACCTTCTGGGTGCCATTCGAATGCCTGCATTACTAACCTGGCTTTTGATATCCTTAACCAACTTTAACAATATCTGAATTGTGGGGAAAACCGCTCAGACATGAAAGTGCATGCAGGCTGGGAACAAGTTATACGAGTAATATGCACGAAAGATGATTTCTACATACGTCACTTGACATGCAGGGCATAATGAGAGCGAGTTCATGTTCATGATGGTGCTTTTTGCTGTTTGGAAATCACCTATTGCTTGTATTGTTTCTCGTTTTCCATTCTGTTCAGACACCCCACCCTTTTCAAGTGTATCTTCATTATTATATCTACAGTACATTATTTTTATTTTCTGCTAAAAATACCCAAGTTTATTGTATCCTGTGAAAATCTTAGCAGTCTCTAAATGCACCTGTAGTTCAAAATCTAGAAGCTTCATTTCAGGTTACTTTGATAAGGTCAAGTTCGCTGAACCCATACCCTTACAAAACACCTTTTCAAGTGTCTCTTCATTATTATAGCTACAGTACATTTTTTTATGTTCTGCTAAAAATACCCAAGTTTATTGTATCCTGTGAAAATCTTAGCAGTCTCTAAATGCACCTGTAGTTCAAAATCCAGAAGCTTCATTTCAGGTTACTTTGATAAGGTCAAGTTCGCTGAACCCATACCCTTACAAAACATGTCTCCTTCCTCAAACTGCTGTCTCTTAATGACAGTGCTATATGTTTACGCCTCCAATGGGGCTTGATCTAGTCCAACAAAAATACTGCATGCAACGCATCTGTTCACCTGCGATTTCATAACCCCACGCACATTTTGTTTGACAGACGTTGTTGACCTCACAAGTGAAACAACGCTTGTGGATGCTGATGTTGTGGATCTAACAAGTTTAGACACCACCGAGGTGAGTGCTTCTCACCATTCCTGGTAGATTCACTGCATTCCCCGGTGTGCCTTTGTGTTGCTAAACTATCAATGGTTGCATCCTAAATTAATGTGAATGGTTTTAATAAAGTACCATCAAATGGTGAATTTGACGATAAGTGAATACAAAAAAAATGGCTCTAATTGCATTGAACGATACACTGGAACATCTATCTCTCCGTGGCTGTCTTCACGGTCATGAAAGCATCTTCCATGTGGGACTGGCCAGACCACAACATGCATGTCCTCAAACGCGAGGCATGTACCATGAATTGAAAAGGCAGAGCATTTTAAAGGTGTGCCAATGGTTTCAATAAAGGGGCCAGTTGAAGTGACTTCAGAAGTAGTTCCGTGATATCCTATTCTGGGGTCATTCTCTGACACAAGGTGATACACTGCTTGCTTTCAGAGTTCCACTTGGAAATGTCCTCATCTCTGGAATATAGCACGTTTAGAGCGAAAGGAACATAGCAACAGATGTGTTGAATCGCTCTGATGTTGTTGACAGTCCTTTTGAGGCACGTTGTGATATCTGTGTTGTAAAAATCTTGTCAGGCAAGCTCGGTCCCATTTTGTTGGTATTTTAAAGTAAGCTTGTTTATATAGTTTTATGACAATTCATTCAATTGTTTTGTTGTAATTGTCATGCTTTTGTCCTTTACATATTCCCAACTGTTTTATGAAAGATCATAGATGTCGGTAAGTGATACAAATATCGCTCTTGCACCTTTTTGGCATTATCCACGGTTGTGGATATGTGATGAATGACAATACTCTGTCGCTGTTGATTAGAGCATTCGCAACAGGAGATCGTGATGGTAGTATCGCTTTAAATAGCAGTTATTTGATCATTTGCATGAATGATCGCCTATGCAAGCAGTCGGGGTGAATCGGTGATGTCAGTGGTCAGGAGAGCACACTGCACCGAGTTCAGTTTCGGGCCACGGCCAACATCAGTGGCGAGTGATACCTGAACCTGTCCTAGGTCCTGTTACCCACTTGCACTTCACGTGCCTGTACTGACCAGCTTAGTGAAGTATGGTCAAGCAAGCACCTGTGACCGACAGGGTATGGGAAGGCCTTCATCCAGCAGTGGATTGGCAGAGTGCTGTAAATGGTTATTGTTTAATGTAAGCACTCTTAACCATCCACATTTCAGGGTGTGTTGGAGGACTGGAAGTCCACTGATAATCAATCCATGAATCCTGCAAAGGACATTTATGGATAAGACCATCCAGGCAGGGGAATTCCCCTTATTTGTAGCTCTCATTGTTTTTCAAAGTAATGATGGGAAACATGTTCATTTTAAGAATAAAATTTGAGGAAATAAAAAATGTCAGTGGCTGTATAAAAGCAAGGCCGGCAACAAGAGAGCCAGCGCAAGAAACACTGGACTTATGGTTCAGTGTTTGTGGGATTCATGTTGTGCAGTACCACCGGAGTGCTCTGAGATATTTTTAAAACTATCAAGTACAGGCCAGCCTCAGTCACGCATCACACATTGGAGAAGCTCGCCACGTTCATCCTTGACAATGCCTTTTGGCAGAAAAATCTATAAATACATTATTTTTTATATTTATCCAGAAAAGACACACTTAGTCCAATTATGATCATTCTGCATTGGGTCTCTATTTTAAGACAGTTTCAGACAATTTTAGTGTTTATACGTGGGAGGAAACCGGAGCATACGGAGGAAACCCATGCGTGCGATGGTGCAACACTCTATCCTCGTGCAGATGAAAATGTGTGGAGATTAGTGTACTTGCTCTTCTGTCAGAGCAGTGTGGTAGCCCAACGGTCATGAGAACCGAGTTTCACAACATTTGTGCGGTCAACCAACCTTCGTCTTCACTACTGAATTAGAGGCATGCAGCATAGCCTCCACCAGCTTGCCATTTATTTTATATATATTTATGTAGTTTTCCCAGTGTCTCACCCCATGTCTCATTTACCGCGTGACACATTCACTCAGTGTCTCGCGAGTGTTTGTGGGAGTAGTTGAGGCTTGCCTCAGTATTTTGTATCGACTAAATCTGCATTCATAAGTACTTTCTTGCATTACTTTCCCAATAGACAGCGTGTTAGTTTCTCTGGTAACTCGTGGGAATTGTAAGAATTGTATTTACCGCTGCGTAATAGACTCCCAATGGTCGTGCAGCACACGACTGCGCTTTAACAAATATGCATGGCAGCCTGTGTACCCTACAAATACATGCAGTGTGACATTCATATTCGCTCATCTGTAAGTGTATTGAAGGACTCACATTTAAAAATGTTTGCTTTTGTTCATTCATTTGCACTCCCCGATTGTTTTTGTTATGCTCAACTTGTCTGTCCTAACAGAGTCCGATCATTCCATGATTGAAGTACAAAGACAACAGAGTGAGGAGGTGGAAGAGGATGAGGATAGATTGGAGGTTTTGGAAAGGGAGTTTCCAGAGATTAGGTTTTTGCGGGAGGATAATTCGTCCGAAGAGGTGACGATAAGGGAAGAGCCAGGGCAACTGGTCCAGCCAATGCTGCTCATCAGTGACGAGGAGGATGGAGAGGTCCAACTTCTCTCACCGGCCGGGCCCAGCACAAGGTATAATTACTTACTGGGAGATGAATATTAACTTTTTATTTGGAAGATATATTTTAAATGTTTTGTGAAGATTACTGAAAGTCCTTCCATTGTGGAGAAAGCCCTGCCATCTGCAGTGCGGTGTAAGCACTGCTCTTAACCACATAATTCGCACTCGGAGCAATGTTCCATTGTCCTCTTGTGAAGACTGATTGCCACGGTTACATTTCTAAGTAAATGTTAAATGTATATGGTCATATTTTTCACGTAAACGTTTTTTTAGGTTAATGCTATGGGGTTCATAAGAATATACTCAGGATACCCCTTAACACGTGTCCCTTATTTTGTTATTAACGTCTTATTGATTTTGAAAAGTGACACAAATAATTGGAAAATGTTAAAGTTTAATTGACAAAGGGGTCAGCCTCTAAAGGCAAACTGTTTATAAGGGTTTGGAGATGGACGTCGCCCAAGTGTATCAAGAACACGGTGAAGCACGGGCGGTGCACGAGTGCCAATGCAGCAACAATGCCAATGCAGCAACAATGCCAATGAAGCAACAATGCCAATGAAGCAACAATGCCAATGCAGCCACAATGCCAAACGCTGCGGATGCGGCTGCATTGGCATTGTTGCTTCATTGGCATTGTTGCTGCATTCGCATTGTTGCTGCATTGGCACTCATGCACCGCCCATGCTCCTGGTGCTGTTGATACACCTGGGCTACGCCCATCCCCAAACCTTTATAAACTGTTTGCCTTTAGAGGCTGACTCCTTTGCCTGATGACAACCGCTTGTGTTGCGATCGAAACGTCGTGATTGATTTTATTTCTAACTATGTGACTTTACCGAAAGAACCAAAGAGTATGGATTCCTGCAGTCATGAAAGCTTCAAATCAAGATCTAATTGACAAATTGATATTTTACCATGACATCCTGTAAAGTGACAATGCTAGACCACACACGAGCCTGAGAGTATCAGAAGCAATGGAGTTGCATAGTTTGAGAAGTCTTCGAATGCCAAATCCACTGTACAGCCCAGATCTGACACCTTCAAATCTTCAATAACTTGACCTTTTGAAGGAGATTACGTCACGCACAATGAGATGAAGTTGTGTGGTGACGTAATGTTGTTGATTAATATATACATTTTAAACATGAATCCGCTTGGGACTTAGTGCCCTCTACCGTCAGGCCTGCCTCACCTGGTTTTACTTCCCTGTTTGCCGCTTCTCCTGAGCGGGTGACGCTATGAGTCTTTGAAGTCACGCAATGGTCAGAGGCCCATGCAATTAATGAGAAGCTGTATTGCAGGTTGTTGGCCGAGCCTTTGCAAAGAACTGCCCAAGTCTTCCAGGATACATTTTTAACGGCAACACACCAATAATAACCCAATATTGGCATACTATCATCTTTATGATAGTTTTTGTGGGCCCCACTTCTTATACAGAAAGAGCTAATGCAGTAACGCTTTCAATAGTTACAAAGAGTAAGCAAAAGGCGCAAAGCATATTGTGTTCACATGTTCTACAAAATGAGACTTTATCACGTCATGCATTCCTTGCAAATAACATCATTGATATTTAAAATGGGAGTATTAGAAAATATGGGAGATGAGGTGTTATTATGTAATAGTTGATCATGAGTTCCGAGTCGCTTCTGCCCAGGCAACCCGCGGGTTTCCCAAATGTGTTTGCAGTGCGAACCTGTCCACTCAACAGATTGGCCATTTACTGTAACTGTGCTGTTGATTTTTTTTTGCGGAAAAACAGCGGGGAGCCTTCATTGATGTGAAATGGCCAGTGCTGAAAAGACCTTCAACATTCATCAGAATTGACGTGTCCACAGGTCCAGCACGACAGCCCGGGCGGCTGGGGCTCAGGGTGCAGAGAAACCTGCGAGTGAACCCGAGACCACCATTTCCTGTCCGCTGTGTCTGGATGAGCTGAATCAGGTTGGTGCCGCCATTACGTTTCCGCAACTTGCGTTGTGTGCGTTGTCTTGACTGCCGAGCCACGCAAAGCGATGCGGTCCCACGCTGCGCTCGCAGCGTGTCCATGCCGCTACGATGTGAATCTCCGCTACGTGGGCCGGTCGGCCTCGTGTGCACGCGCTTCACACTTGATTCTGGATTCACATTTTGAGTCGAGACACATTTTTTTTATATTTGTTCTCTGCAACGGTAGATCCAATCGTATATATATCCTGACATTCCACTCAATTAATTTCAGATACTCAAGTGAACACTAAACCAGTAAATGCAGCACAGTGTCTGGTGATACTGAATTGGCAGTTGTACACAAGTGCAAATAACAAACAAAAACCTCAAAAACATTCGTCAATAACACGTCCTTAAAACAACAACGTATATACAATAGGTGACATCTCGGGAAATGGCCCTCTAGAATCCATAGAGAGGCCAGAAAGGCCGTGGCTGACCGACTCGGCCTCTGGCCTCCTCTCTGTGCTGTCAAGGAGGCCCATTGCCTCAAGTGCCGTCTGCTATATACATTTTCTCTTCAAGGCCGCAGTGTTGTTGACGAATGTCAGTTTTTTTAATAAATGTTGCATTTTTCTCCCATTTGAAAGGTTTTCTTACAGTTATTGTGGGCAGTATCCTTATCCACATTCTGATTTAACACCCAAAATGATTATCTTAAGAACAAAAGTTGGCAACATTTCGTGGCATATATGAAGAACCCCAAGGAATTCTGCGAGATGGAGAGGGTGACTGTTGTAATATCACGCTAAGGTCATCGTACCTGCGTTTTGTGGCACGTGCCTGTGACGTCGTTACAAAAACACCGTCTCAGCATTGCTCCACCATGCCCCATGGTTTGTCAGCAAAGACGAAGTGCCAGAATCCTCATTGCACACAAGGACTACTACGTTGGTAGCAGTGCTCTCCACATCAAGACAAAAAGTGGGCACATTTGTCAGATGGGTGGCTTGATAAGTTGTGTTGGATATTAAGTGGGTCTCCCAACATCTGTAGGCACAATGAGGCTTGTTGCAGTGCTGTTTGGTTTTGTAAACTTCCTTCACCTCCACCACCCGACTTGCCTCCGAATAGCATGGTTGGCTGCGTACGCTGCGAAAGAAGATCAACATACATACAGTTGATTATTAAGTTTGTGTATAAGATCCTCCGTGTTTGTTTTCTTGAGTACTTTGAGTTAATTTGTTCTAAAAGAGAAAAATAGTTTAGACACGAAGAATTGCACAACCCAGTGCTTTGATTTCGCTTCATCTTTAGGTTTTGTATTTTTCAGTTGAAATTATCCTACAATGTGATTTTTGTTACAATTTTAATAATGTTATTTTCTAATTCATATTTTAGCTGTAGTTTTTCAGCATCTCATCTTTTATTTCTCAGAATTTTAGGTTTCATGTGTGAATTTTGTAACTTTCATTTTGCATTACAAGTTTCTGAATCAGACAGAGTGAAAATATAACCAAATTGGGAGAGGTGATGATGGGACGTGTAATGACAAAGATAGGAGCAGGTTTGAGCACGGTAGAGACACAAAACTAATATAGACCTGGAGTTGGGATAGAACCAGAAGAAAGGCAACAGGAGAACTCAGGTAAGACAGAGTTCGACATTCACAGGATCAGAATGGATGTGGAACAAAGGCAAAACAAATGTTAAAAGATTTGAGAAGGTTTTGAGTTCATATTTTGGTCAAGGTCGACTAGGCTCATCCCTCTGCAGTTGATAAAGCGAGTAATACTTTGTGGAAAGTTTAACAGTTATAATTCTCTGAGATGACATGGGAATGTGGAATTTCCACCGATGGTTCAGGACTGTTGCCCTTATTGTGCATCTCAGGAGTTGTAATAGTTTAATACACATGAATACATAATCTTAGCTTTGCACTTAAATGAAATTATACAGAATATTAAATAGTGAATTGCTAGAATGTTGGTGTTTGATGTCTTTAACATTGTTTTGTACTCTGTACAAATATGACAAAACATAAATGTGGGCTGCATAGTCACGAACCGTGAGATGGACTGGTGTAAGTGTTGGTGCTTGCTGTCACGCCCAGCATGACAGGAATGCACAAAGACTGCATCAGCTGTGTCTTATCACTCGTGACATGATAAACTCGCCTTCAATTTCAGTGGGCAGAGTGGAATCACAATATATGTATTAATTGCCTGTGTTAAACTAACACTTTAATATATTGCACATTTATAGATTGTGAGTGTGCATAATTAAGAGAAACTTGGACTTTTAGTGGTTGAAGTTCCAAAAGCAAGTCTTTCTCAATTGCTGTTTTGTCTTTATACAGGTGCACATGAGTGGTCGACTGATGTGTTCCACGGTTTGTGGCCACGTCTTCTGCAGCGTTTGCATCCGAGATGCAATAAAATCCATGGCCAAGTGTCCTTTTTGTCGAAAAAAATTGACTCTCAAGCAATACCACCCAATCTACATCTGAAAATTATAACTCGCGCACATCTCGGGAACTTCCAATTGTGCGCAGATACCGGTCACCCCAAACATGCGCATTTGAAGGGCATTGCTACCTGATGTTTGTGCGTGTGCGTGCATTAAGTGCACGACTCCTCACCACACGCTTAAGCAATACCAACTAGTCAGAGACAACTGCAACCAATGGACGTCGAACGGGAGTCAACAGCTGGTGTATATACAATGAATAATAATACATGATGTTCATGCAATGGACATGACCCACCTTCAGACAATGCCCCCCCCACCACCTACAAACCTCTTACCATCCTGATCGACTTGACACTTGGCTTCCAGGCCCCAGCCCCTTCACAAACGCTTAGAATGTGACTTTTCTATCCAGGTGTTTTGTTTAGATATAGTTTATTGCATTAAAATATAACAGATAGAAACATACATTTGGGGTTAGGTAATTGCCATTTTTATGTTGTAATTACTTTGCTTTATACCTGTTCACGTTTTGTAAGAGTTGCACATAAAAGATGGTTGTGTACTGGGTACATGGATTTGAGCAGGGATACATATTGGCTTGACATCCATTACTGATGAGTGTTTTGCTTTGGATGACGTCATTCATTTTATCTTGATCTGAAAATGCACAGTCCATGTATATTAATAAATGAACAAGAATATACACATACAATGCGTTTGCCAGGTTATTGGCCTGGAAGCATGGATGGTTCGCTTTCAACTTTATGATTATCTTTGTGTACAATTTTGAAATGTTCTTAATGTCTTGTGGTAATAAAGAGCTTTGAGAACTGTGCTTTTCATTTTAACACAGTCCCAAGTTTTGTTTTAATTAACTAAAGACATTAACCATTATGCAATCAGCTTGTAATTACATGGTTACATCAGGAACACAAATGAAAATAAATCACTGTGATGCTTGGCATTACATTGCATTTAAGAAATGGAATTCACATGGAAAATAGAACTGATGTAGCACAATCACATCATAATCAAAAGGAACAAGGCCCATTTAAGACGGTGGTTTCCAAAATCAAATTGCGTACAGATCAGAAAGAAGCTTTCAAGGACAACAGCTCTTCTGTAGATAAAAAAACATTTGCCTATTGCGATTTGTTCCAGATCTTCAGCGCATGACAGTGCGTGCTCTGCTGCTGTTCAGGTTGTGTCTGGACCAGCCAAACCTTTGCTGCACGTCCTGGTATTTCACAGGCACCTAGGGTGGCATGGACCAACATTCACTTCGCACCACCTGTCACCAGTTCATGCCGGGGAAACATGATCTTCCAAGCGAACCGCAATCTATAAACTTCAATTCGAGGAATCTCCAGTCCAGTACCCTCGGTACTGAGCACAGACAATGCAACTCTGTGGATTTAATGGCAGGCCTGCTCGCCCGAGTCTTACAATAACGTTGAGGGTCCATCGGATGCCAAGTAGTTGCAGCTGCAAATTCACGTCGTTTTCGGTGACATTACAAAACGAGACATCCCCATTGCTACCCTTAGACTATTGGGGCAAGTGCTCTTAGCGAGGAGCACCTATGAAGGCCGGCACGGCACACAAGGGGGTGGGTGGCTAACACCACGCCCGGCCGCCTTGTCTCCCCAGTGGCGATGTTGACACACCACACTGGGTACTCATTTGAGGCTGAGTCAACCTAGGGGAGGCTCAGTACCGGTTCGGATAATCGTCACTGGTGTTGGCCGTGACACACACACCAGCCATCACATTGCTTTTCCACCAAAGCTTCAGTTCGCTGCAGGCTTTGGAAGCCACAAGTGTCACAACACGTTCGCAGTTTCAGAAGATGTGACAGTACGTCAGTATTATTTGGTAAGAGACGTTGGCATGGAAGGCATGGAATTCATCCAGTGAGGTTACTCAGGGTTTCACCTACATGTCTCCGAATCCGTTCACACACTTTGATGTCAATTGAAACTTCTGGAATGCTTCAAAGCCGACCTCTGACAAGTCCAGCAACCTGGAATGTGTTAACGAAGCAATGAGATAATTACTCTGCAAAAACAAAAACTACAAATCTAGGATGCTTTGTTCCAGCAAACCAAAATGTGTAAGCTACCGAGCTGCATTTGGACCACGAGCGATTTCCGCAGCACATCGCTCTGACTCGAGTAGCGTGGAGTTGGATCTTAGAGGAGGCGAGGTCGTCTCGGCTTGCAGTCTGGGCCACCCTGCCCATGGCTTCAAAACCGTCCGGCCAGCCGAGGCCCTCGTTTGGGTGTAAAAGCTAGAAAAGCTACGCTGACTGGTGTATGTGTGCGTGCAATCGGTGTCACTGGTAATGTACGCAACTTATCAGCTGTAAGTGTGAAACTGCGAATATTAGAGCAAAATGTGAATGGTTTTCATGTTACTTTGAGGGACGTTCTGTTTATAAGTTCATAGCTCTCTATCCCATGCGATCATCACCTGCTGGGACTCACTCCTCTCTATTGCATTGTATTTAAACTGTCTCTAAATTGTGTTGCAACGTTGCATCGTGCATCATGTGAACTGCTTTAGCTAAAAATATAATAATTGTATATCATATGAAAATTTGTTTAACCTATACCTAAATACATTACTTTATTTCACGTACTGTTTCCATGTAATATACAAAAAATACAAATATTCGTTACACTTGACGGCATACGTTAAGCTAAAAACAATCATGTCTTCATGGTACTAACGTTGTATGGTTCCTACCCAAAATGAAAGCAATACAGAACATGTTTTAGAAACTGCCTCTCGAATATATACATTGGAATTCCATTGATGCCATAAAGCTCGTCTAAAGCCATTTGCTTTAGACAAACTTAATTGTCATTCATTCAAAAAAACTTACATACAGACATACAAAGCCGTTTGGCAGTGCTGCACCAGGAGCCACAGTCGGCCTGGCAGGCCGCACAGAGCGACACTCTCTGTGCTGTGAAGCGGTGACCTGATTCCTGCAGTGTTGTTGACGAGCGTGTTCTTGTTCGTACTTATGCACCGCTCCCAACGCAGGATTACCAACTAACAGGGAACAACATGAGTTCGCTGGACGAAACTGCCCCAGATGCACACAATGTATGAAACGTGTCATCTGTACACACTGCTGCACATGCCGGCTATTAAATGTGCGTGTTGAGGGCTTTGTCTTGTTGTGTTTACACGTAAAGCATCGTCATTGGTGTCCACTTTTAAAACAGGGACAACTGCCCAGCCCATTCCAATGGCCACACGAACTCCCTCCCATGTCGCTCCAAGGCCGTGCGAGCTCCTCCTGGCTGCGAGGCGCCAGGCCATCGTCGTCTGTGCACGATGTCAGAATAAGCGGCAGGGCCTCGTGCAGCTCCCAGCTAAGTGACTTCATTCTTGCATTTATTAAGCCATAATTGTAATACGTTATTTTAATGAGATATTGTGGTGCGGTGATTTCATGTAGCTATTATAAGTGTTTCTGCAGTTTCGGTTTTTTTCTTCAGTATATAGCTCAAGGGGTGAATTTTTAAATATAAAAAACGCGACACATTCGTAATAGGCGATGTTTCGGGAAATGTTCCTTCAGAGTGTGATCGGGGTCGGCGTTTCGAGCCGGCACCGCCGCAAAACCTCCCCGACACGCGCGGTGAGCGACCCAACGCAACAGCAACAACAGCAATGTCGCTGCAACACTCGGGGGAACGGCGTCGGTGGTCAATGGCGTTGCGTTCCACCGCCCCCCCCCCCCTTCGTGCTGTGAGTCTCTCCACGCGACTCGGCCCGCCCGACGCGTCTCGCGGTGCCCTCCTTGCGCCCCGCACCTCCAGTGAGCACGGTTGGCTACGCACGGTGCGAAAGAAGTTGAACACACAGCGACCCGCTCCGTCGGCATTCATGATCACGCGACATCTTTAACTGACGAGGCATTGCATTGAACACTCTTTACATAACATTACGGTTAATACAGATGCTGTTCTACTGTGCACATAATCGACGCGACGTTCAGCCACCGTATTCTGGAGGTGAACACCTCGCTGGTGAACACGGCCACGAGATAATTACGAACGATGGCCTCCTCACTCAAGGCTCGGTACGAGCACCGTGACTTTCACATTTATCGAAGTGACCTGCCATGCGCGTCATCTCGCAAGTTCACACGTTCAGGTGACGTAGCCCTTGTTGTACAGGGCACACACCGTGAGGACATTGCCAGTTACTCGAACAGCTGATGGAACTTTTTTGGAGCCATATTCTCGTCGCTGAAGACTCCGGCCAACTCCCTCCAAATCCACCGCAGGCGCTGTTCGCCTGGACAAACGTGCGGCAGGTTGCACCCTTGACGTGTCGTTCTTCGGTGGTCGCCCAGTGCGCTATTATCCCACTCCCAGATGTCTCCTGGTTCATGAATACGGAGACACACCTCCTTCACATGTGTGTTCCTCAACGTTATTTTTGACACATCACATCAGGCACACGGCCGTCCGCGAGCGCACCACCTCTGCGCCATTGGTTCAACACTCGGAATAATACTCCGGGACAGTTTCAACACTCAGTGTCTCATCAGCAAGGTCGGTCTTGCACTCCCTGATGGCATCTACAGGTGTATCGTTTTCGTCTTTGTTATTTGGAGGGACAGACGTGCATACTTGTCAACCCCTTATCAGTGCCCTGCCTCATTACAGACTAATTCAGACCTTATTTGGTCACGCCGTGCCGTTATAAATCTCAACGGTCATCCTACAAAGTCCCATCACAAGGGAGAAACACAAATAGACACTTTTTTGCCCGTATTAAAACGGCTGTACGCCGTATGGACCTGAAAACGCAATTTCCCTGTACAAGAATACGGGTAAACCGCATGGGTTGACAGCTATGGACGTGTGAAGGAGGCGTATGTTTGCTTATTCAATTTATTCGGCACGCTACATTTTCTCCACACAATGACGTAAGAGTCGTAGCGATTCGCGGGACCTCGTTGAGGCGGCAATCGCCGCGTGCCGAGGCCACGGGCGCCCTCTCGCGTGCGCCTGGGGAAGGGACGCAGGTGCCCCCAAGGGGGCTGAGCCGGCCTGCATGCGAGCCCCGGGGGCTCTGCTCCTGGGAGGGTTCGTTACATTATTGATGGTAAGTTATTCATATCGCTGTTTGCCAGGTGGTGGGGGCTTACGCCTACAAGCCAACGCTGTGGAGGCGAGGGTTGGTGAATCGTGCAAATGGTGCTCAACTCCCATCCCGTGCGGCGTCAAGGTGCCCCAACCCTGGCTTGCCATGAGAAGGCGATAGAACAAACATGTGGACTAATCTCAATCTGTTACATCTGTACGGGATAGAGTGTCCCCCCCCCCCCCTCGTACGCGTCAGGTTTTCTCCCCCATGTATATGACACTCATCAATTGGCTGAACACGTGAATATATAGAGGACTGCAGAGCTTTGGCAGTTGTTGGTGCCGGTACACTGCCTGGCTGCCTGCCTATAAGTGTGCCTGTGATTCTTCGGCGATTGTAAGATAGAATTTGCATGAACGTCGATGCGATATAAAATGAAACATTGTTATGAAGTATAATAGGTTGTTTTATTGATGTTACATTTGTTGCTCAATGATGTTCGTGTATGGTTGCACTGTGTTGGTGACAGTTTGGAATATATTGAGTAACTTAAATTCCACGGTACTTAAAATATTTTTGCCTTTTTTGAAGTGACTTCTTACGAGTCTCTTTACCGCTATCGACACGTGAGTTTCAAAAGTGACCCATGGCTAAACATTAGTGTTTAAAGTGTCTTTTGTTTCACTGAGAACTCAGGAAAACCAGGATAGTCTCACTTGTAAGAGTGACCTGGGTTATCAAAATGACAAAAGCAGGAACGTAAACACAACAGTGAAGCAAATACATATGTAGTGTGATAGCGCTGGCTGGTGGACGGCAGCGGCAACTGTGGTGGACAGACAGTACACACGCCGGTGAGGGTGTGCACGGTGTGTTTGCAGAGCGGAGGAACTAGGGCAAGGGTCACGGAGGACCCCATCTGGAGGCCCCTGGAACCTGCTAGTAGGTTCGAGAAGGGAGGCGCAGTCAGGGCGGAGCCAGGCCGAGCTGGTAGGATAAAAGGAGTCGAGAGCGGGAGCTCCAGGCTGCCGGTTCTGGGAGTGGACTCGTCTCGTCGTTGCTGTCGTGTTGTCGCCGTCGTCACTGCCGTCTTCGCTAGATTTTGCGCTGCTATAAGTTGTTTGCTATCTCAGTCGGCGCCATCAGTGTTTGATGGTTAGTGTTGTGTACAGGCTAGGCTAAGCAACTGTGGAGAGTATGTGGACGAGACCGTGAAAGTTGATAAATAAAAGAAGGTGCCTCCTACAAACCTTGTCTCCAAATTGCTGACACTACAACTGCTGTCAGAAGTGGTTGAATAGTTCGACAGGCGTATAAGTCGTCATGTCGAAGCTATCCAGGAAGAGGAACCCACCTTAAGTGTCAGCAGAGGATGAGGACGGCGAGACGGTCATCCCTCCAACAGCCTCAGGACCCCGGTTACAAATCCCATTGGCGCGGGAGCGGCGGTTGCGGATCAGCGGGAGAGGGACACCGATCCTCTGGAGTAACGAACCAAGGATGGGTGGCACGAGGTGGTTTACCACCTCGACCTGCTCCTTGTGACCGTCGGCCGGCTGGTCGCGTAGCTCTGCGCGTCCGCGCCTGCTGTCCAGGGGATAGGCCGCGGGGCTCGCCGGAGCTGCCGCCTGCAGCGACGGTTCCCCCAGCGGACACCACATGGTTGCCGGCTGCCATTTTGCCCGCGGAGGGCATGGCGTGGTCGGTGGGCACCATATGGAGTGGGACGTGGGACAACGCTAAAGAAGCGCCGCATCCGGCGGCGCTGCAAGGAGCCGCATGCCGACCACGGAGGCTGCCTCCCGTTCGGGAGTTCGTGGCGGCGGGAGGCGATTGGACGGCGTTCCGTCATTGCTTCAAAGCAGCTTGGGTGTCCGTCGGGTGGACGGAAGAGGAGGCCCTGCGGGCCCTACCGACGGCCCTCAACGATGATGCGTTGGCGGCGTTCGGGCCATCCTGGAGAGTGATCGGTCAACCCTCCAGCGGGCGTACGCCCAGATGGTGGCCGTCTTCGACCCACCGTACAACGCCTGCAGGAGATTTTTACAGCGGAAGTGAGCAGCAGACGAGACGCCTCTCGCTTTTCTTAACGCTTTGCTGGCATTGGGACAGGAGGCGTATCCCCATATGGACCGGACGGCGCTCGACTCCTTAGCAGTGGAGAGGCTGCTAGCGTTGGCACAGGAGTTGGGGGTCGTCCTGGCGATCACGGAGGACGATGAGTTAACGTCCTTGAAGCTGGCCCGGTGGATTCATGCCCACAGGATCTGAGCCTCTGATGCCCAGAAAATATTCTGAGGTCGCCGTGTATGAGGGATCAGAGGCTGGAGCCCGGTCAAGTGCTGATGATGAATCCAGGGAGGGGCCGTGCCCTTTAGCTGTTTTTTTTTATTCCTCGAAGCCCCAAGAAGTGCAAGATCCTACCCAAGGCGGGGGACCAGCATCAAGGACCCGGTTCATGTGAGCGACATTCCGGTAATGTGGACTCTCCCTCGTACTGTGTGGTTAGGAGAAAATGGCGTGTTAACGGTAATAGGCACTGAGAAGGGGTTGTGTGGTGCTGTGTGGTTTGTGTTGATGGTTGTTGTTGTGTTCGTTTTTTGCCTGCGCCACGCGCCGAGCGTGATCAGGTGGATCGCCTGTTGTGTGGCTAGTTCGCGGGGGGCGCCGCGGTTGTGCTGTGTGCCTGTGCGTGCGCCGAGTTGCTCAAGTGTGGAGGCGATGGTTGGAGCAGGTGTTGTGCTGGTCGGTTTGCGGGGAGTGTCGTGACTCTTTGGTTCTATTCGGTAAAGTCACGTAGGTAAAAAATAAAATAACAAAAATCACGACGTTTCGGCCACAACACAAGTGGTCTTCATCAGGTGAAGGGACATTGCTGTCATGAGGACAGCGTTGCAGTGGAAACAGCCAAGCCCAGGTCGCGTCCTTTAAGCTGTGTGGGAGGAAGCAAAACGCTTGACAAAGGAATTAGCATAAAAAATGAGCACGATGTACGTAGGAGGTGCATGGGCCATGATGGACCAGGAGCGGGTGGGGACCATGACGGACCAGCAGCGGGGGGGGGAGGGAGTAGAGTGAGTGAGTGGAGTGAGTGAGTGGAGTGAGTGGAGTGAGTGAGTGAATGGAGTGAGTGAGTGGAGTGAGTGAGTGGAGTGAGTGGAGTGAGTGAGGAGTGAGTGAGTGGAGTGAGTGAGTGGAGTGAGTGGAGTGAGTGGAGTGAGTGGAGTGAGTGAGTGGAGTGAGTGGAGTGAGTGAGTGGAGTGAATGAGTGGAGTGAATGAGTGGAGTGAATGAGTGGAGTGAGTGAGTGGAGAGAAATAAGCAGCTGTGAAAGTTTGTACAATACAGTACACAAAATACAGTACAACACAGTACACAAAATACGTGACCTGATCCCATCCGTGAAGGATGTCGTTCCTGACTTACAATACCCCGGGGTTTACAAATTGAGCTGCACTTGTGGTGATTGCTATATCGGGGAGACGAAGCGACATGTCTCTGACCGAATTCGCGAGCACAAATCAGATTTGAAACACGGCAGAACGAATTCTTCTGCCGTAGCTGACCACTGTTACAACGCTGTGGGTGATCACGATATAGTTTTCTCCGATACCAAGGTTCTCTGCAAACCCACGGGTTTTTCATCAGAGATTTGTCCACAAGGCAATTCAGATTTACAAACACAGACACAATTTCAACCGAGAGGATGGTTTCAAATTAAGCAATCATTGGAAAGATGTTCTAAATCAAACCAAACATTAAACTAATTTTCAATGGTAGAGTAATTTTTTTTTCAAGTAGTGGTTTCCCAAACTTTCACAGGTGCTTATTTCTCTCCACTCACTCACTCCACTCTCACTCCACTCACTCCACTCACTCCACTCACTCACTCCACTCACTCCACTCACTCCACTCACTCCACCCACTCACTCCACTCACTGACTCGACCCACTCCACTCACCCCACTCACTCCACTCACTCACTCCACTCACTCACTCCACTCACTCACTCCACTCACTCCACTCACTCACTCACTTCACTCACTCACTCCACTCACTCACTCCACTCACTCCACTCACTCACTCACTCCACTCACTCACTCCACTCACTCCACTCACTCCACTCACTCTACTCCCCTCCCCCGCTGCTGGTCCGTCATGGTCCCCGCCCGCCCCTGGTCCATCATGGCCCATGCATCTCCTACGTACATCGTGCTCATTTTTATGCTAATTCCTTTGTCAAGCGTTTTGCTTCCTCTCACAGAGCTTAAAGGACGCGACCTGGGCTTGGCTGTTTTCACTCCAACGCTGTCCTCATGACAGCACGGTTCCTTCACCTAGTGGTATCCCAAACATTCACAGCTGCTTATTTCTCTCCACTCACTCACTCCACTCATTCACTCCACTCACTCCACTCACTCACTCCACTCACTCCACTCACTCACTCCACTCACTCACTCCACTCACTCACTCCACTCACTAACTCCACTCACTCACTCCACTCACTCCACTCACTCCACTCACTCACTCCCTCCACTCACTCACTCACTCCACTCACTCTACTCCCCCCCCCCCCCCCCGCTGCTGGTCCGTCATGGTCCCCACCCGCTCCTGGTCCATCATGGCCCATGCACCTCCTACGTACATCGTGCTCATTGTTATGCTAATTCCTTTGTCAAGCGTTTTGCTTCCTCCCACAGAGCTTAAAGGGCGCGACCTGGGCTTGGCTGTTTTCACTGCAACGCTGTCCTCATGACAGCAATGTCCCTTCACCTGATGAAGGCCACTTGTGTTGTGGCCGAAACGTCGTGATTTTTGTTATTTTATTTTTTACCTACGTGACTTTACCGAATAGAACCAAAGAGTATGGATCCTTGCAGTCACGAAAGCTTCAAATCTAGAAGTGTCGCGACTATGTTTTTTTTGGTTGTATTTTTTGGGGGGGTTTTGATGTCCCTCGATTGTGGGAGTTGCTCTGCCTGTCCACCCAGTTCCGTTGCTGTGTATCAGCTGGGACGGCTGTTTTTTTAAACAAGGGGGTGGGGGGGGTGATGTAGTGTAATAGCGCCAGCTGGTGGACGGCAGTGGCAACTGTGGTGGACAGACAGTACACACGCCGGTGAGCGTGAGCACGGGTGTGTTGGCAGAGCGGAGGAATTAGGGCAAGGGTCACGGAGGACCCCATCTGGAGGCCCCTGGAACCTGCTAGTAGGTTCGAGAAGGGAGGCGCAGTCAGGGCGGAGCCAGGCCTCGCTGGTAGGATAAAAGATCCGAGAGTGGGAGCTCCAGGCTGCCGGTTCTGGAAGTGGACTCGTCTCATCGTTGCTGTCGTCTCGTCGCAGTCGTCGCTAGATATAGCGCTGCTAGAAGGTGCCTCCTACAAACCTTGTCTCCGAATCGCTGACAATACTCATACATCACATAGAAATCAGAAGAAAGATAAAAGTGGAAAATTAATCCCAAAGAACCGCACGCAATCCCCGGTTGTTGGGGCGGCCGTTCTCGCCCGGCCCTCGTGACCCTGCTGCGATTGGCTGTCGTGTTGTCTCGCACTGGGGCTCGCCGTCCACTGGGGGTGCTGCAAGACGACAGAACGGCGCTCCCCGCGGAGTCGCCCATCGCAGCCATGCCACCCCCGCCTAGCGGGCGAGTTGGCAGAGTCCGTGGGGCGCGGCGCTGAGCCCTACCCCTCTCGGCCCCGCGTAGTGGTCTCGCCCACGGCGCGGTGCACCCTGGGAGGGAGGCGCGAGCCCCCGCCATATTGGACGAGAGCGAGGGGAGCAAGGGGAGAGATCGGTGCGTGCGGGTCCCTCACTCTCCTGCTCACTCTCCTCCTCTTCGTCGTCGCTCTCTCCCGTCTCCCGCTCTCTCTCGGAGCACGCGCGCGCCATGAGTCCCGCCGACACGAAGCGCACCAAACGGAGGAAGAACAGGAGGGGCGGCGGCGGCGGGACCAGCGGCGGCGGCGGTGGCACCAAGGCGCTGAGCCGTCAACAGAAAATGTCGCCCGCGACGAGCGGAGGAGGCAGCAGCAGTAGCAGCGCGAGCGGCGAGGTGAGGGGCGCGCAGGGGGTGAGGGATAGAGAGATGGTTGTGTGGGTGGTGAGGGTGAGGAGGCGGTGACGGGAGGAGTGATAGGGAGGGGGGAGAGGGAGAGGGTGAGTGCGGGAGAGAGGGGTAGGTGAGGGAGAGGGCCTAGGTGTGAGGGAGAGGGCCTGGGTGTGAGGGAGAGGTGGTAGATGTAAGGAAGAGGGGTGAGGTGAGGAAGAGGGGCGAGTTGAGGCTGGAGGTGGTAGATGATGAGGTGGAAGCGGTGAGGGAGACGATGGGGGTGAGGGAACGGGGTGGGACTGAGCTGGGAGGAGGTGAGGTTGGGGGAGTGAGGTGAGGCGGTGATTGTGAAAGGTGAGTAAGGGTGAGGTGGGGTTAGGATTTGGTGAAAGGCTTGAATTGTTAGGCTGAGAGGAAAGGTGAGGGGGGTGATAGTGGTAGATGAGGGGCTTGGGAAAAGTAATGGTTGAGATGGGCGGCGAGAGAATCGGGAGGGGGGGGAGAGAAAGGCACGGCGAGGTAGTAGGTGAGTGGTAACGATGAGGTTTAGAGCTGGAGGAGGTTAGAGCGAGGAAGGACTTGAGTTTTAAGGATTGGGAGGCGAGTTGATGGGGTGAGGTGGAGTAAGGGGTGAAAGGGAGTATTTGAAGTGAGAGGATGAAGTTAAACGAGATGTGAGGTGAGCGATTAATTTATGTACAATATATAGGGTTGGGTAAAGAGGTGGGATGAGGAGGGAAGTGAAATATGGTGTGAGGGATGAGTTGATGGCTGATGTATGGGTTGATGGAGGTGAGCCGTGGGGTAAGGGGAGAGGAGGTGAGTGGGAGAGTTGATGGGGAGGAGGTGTGACGTGATGTGGGGGTCGGATGAGGGGGGTAGGTTTAGCAAAAGTAAGATGATGAGTGTAATGTGAGGTGAGGATCATAAAGTGGAGAGTTGAGGCATCAACATCCCTTCATGGGTTGTGGGAATGCAGGGTCGGGAGAGACCTGGGACACGAGGGCCCACTCAGCCCACACTATCCCCTGCCCCCACCGTTCTCGGCCGCAGGGGGTGCACCCCCACTTCTCCCCCTGTACCCCCGGTCACTCCGCCTCCTTCAGCTTCCCGCCTCCCAGCAGGCCAGCGCTGCTCTCTGTCCTTGTCGGGGCTGCATTGAGCCCTGTGCCGTTTCCTGCGGCGGCCATGGGGCCTCGCCCAGGTGGGGAGGGGGTGGGAATGGGCGATGGTGGCGGAGTGGGGGTGAGGCAGCGCGGCCCTGCTGATCAGTGGCACAGGGGCCAGTGCCGGTGTGGTCTAATGAGGGCTAACGGAGAGGCCTATGTCACAGCTGTCGTGCTGTGTGTTGTCACTGCTCTAGTGCTGTGTCGTCACAGCTCTAGTGCTGTTTCGTCACTGCTCCAGTGCTGTGTCGTCACTGCTCCAGTGCTTTGTGGTGTCACTGCTCCAGTGCTGTGTGTTGTCACTGCTCCAGTGCTGTGTGTTGTCACTGCTCCGGTGCTGTGTGTCGTCACTGCTCCAGTGCTGTGTGTTGTCACTGCTCCGGTGCTGTGTGTCGTCACTGCTCCAGTGCTGTGTGTTGTCACTGCTCCAGTGCTGTGTGTCGTCACTGCTCCCGTGCTGTGTGTTGTCACTGCTCCAGTGCTGTGTGTTGTCACTGCTCCCGTGCTGTGTGTTGTCACTGCTCCAGTGCTGTGTGTCGTCACTGCTCCAGTGCTGTGTGTTGTCACTGCTCCAGTGCTGTGAGTCGTCACTGCTCCAGTGCTGTGAGTCGTCACTGCTCCAGTGCTGTGTCTTCACTGCTCCAGTGCTGTGTGTCGTCACTGCTCCAGTGCTGTGTGTCGTCACTGCTCCAGTGCTGTGTGTCGTCACTGCTCCACTGCTGTGTGACGTCACTGCTCCGGTGCTGTGTGGTGTCACTGCTCCGGTGCTGTTTCGTCACTGCTCCAGTGCTGTGTGTCGTCACTGCTCCACTGCTGTGTGACGTCACTGCTCCGGTGCTGTGTGGTGTCACTGCTCCAGTGCTGTGTGTCGTCACTGCTCCACTGCTGTGTGACGTCACTGCTCCAGTGCTGTGTGTCGTCACTGCTCCACTGCTGTGTCGTCACTGCTCCCATGCTGTGTGGTGTCACTGCTCCAGTGCTGTGTGTTGTCACTGCTCCCATGCTGTGTGTTGTCACTGCTCCCATGCTGTGTGTTGTTACTGCTCCAGTGCTGTGTGTTGTTACTGCTCCAGTGCTGTGTGTCTTCACTGCTCCAGTGTTATGTGTCTTCACTGCTCCAGTGCTGTGTGTCGTCACTGCCCCAGTGCTGTGTGTTGTCACTGCTCCCGTGCTTTGTGTTGTCACTGCTCCAGTGTTATGTGTCGTCACTGCTCCAGTGCTGTGTGGTGTCACTGCGCCAGTGCTGTGTGTTGTCACTGCTCCACTGCTGTGTGTCGTCACTGCTCCAGTGCTGTGTGGTGTCACTGCTCCCATGCTGTGTGTTGTCACTGCTCCAGTGCTGTGTGGTGTCACTGCTCCCATGCTGTGTGGTGTCACTGCTCCGATGCTGTGTGTCGTCGCTGCTCCAGTGCTGTGTGTTGTCACTGCTCCACTGCTGTGTGTCGTCACTGCTCCAGTGCTGTGTGGTGTCAGTGCTCCCATGCTGTGTGTTGTCACTGCTCCAGTGCTGTGTGGTGTCACTGCTCCAGTGCTGTGTGTTGTCACTGCTCTAGTGCTGTGTGTCGTCACTGCTCCAGTGCCGTGTGGTGTCACTGCTCCAGTGCTGTGTGTCGTCACTGCTCCGGTGCTGTGTGGTGTCACTGCTCCAGTGCTGTGTGTTGTCACTGCTCCGGTGCTGTGTGTTGTCACTGCTCCCATGCTGTGTGGTGTCACTGCTCCAGTGCTGTGTGTTGTCTCTGCCCCAGTGCTGTGTTGTCACTGCTCTAGTGCTGTGTGTCGTCACTGCTCCCATGCTGTGTGGTGTCACTGCTCCAGTGCTGTGTGTTGTCACTGCTCCGGTGCCGTGTGGTGTCACTGCTCTAGTGCTGTGTGTCGTCACTGCTCCAGTGCCGTGTGGTGTCACTGCTCCACTGCTGTGTGTCGTCACTGCTCCAGTGCTGTGTGGTGTCACTGCTCCACTGCTGTGTGTCGTCACTGCTTCAGTGCTGTGTGTTGTCACTGCTCCAGTGCTGTGTGTTGTCACTGCTCCAGTGCTGTGTGGTGTCACTGCTCCAGTGCTGTGGTGTCACTGATCTAGGGCTGTGTGTCACAGCTCAAGGGCTGTTTGGTGTCACAGCTGGAGTGTTGTGTAATTGCTTCATTGCCGTGTGGTGTCACTACTCTAATGAGATTGTGGAGTGCCATATTAAAGGTGTTTTGGCACTGCAGAGGCTGAATATGATTGTAATCATGACACGTGAGAAAACAACCACACAGGCAAAGACATGACACCGATAGCTGAGGGTATTGACACTGCAGTTAGAATGCTTTGTCAAGACATCCTGTGTACGGCTGTTCCAAAGTTCTATTTGAGAGATGTTTTGCTAAGTAATTTTAGAAGACGTGCAGAGGTACAGTCATATTACATTGTGACTCCAGTGTGAAGACTGGACAGTCAGTGAACTGTGTGCTGCAGCGAATATGCAGTGGTGTAGTCAGATGCATAAAGCACACAACAGCTGGACTAAATATATATTTACCATAAATTCACCACGAGAAAATACAAGACTAGAATACCAATTCTATATACAGTATTCCAACCAAAATGTCATCTTTAAATATTGATAATTTTTCTTTAAATTCAGTCTAATAATTAATCAGACGTTTTTGCACCCACAGTTCCTTGAGACTAAAGTTGTGTTTCTGGATCTGCCTAGGCAAAGTCCAGTGTAGCTCGGCTCATTCACGTAAGTTTTCCACAACCGCATGGGAATCATGAGCTGTGGCGGCCCCATTCTCACAGCAGTCCCACCAGCCCTCGTGACGACACCAGGTAGACTCGGGAAGTGGTTTGGACCTTGCTGTCACAAGCGAGCCGCACGCTGTTATTCTGGCCGACCTCTGAGCCAGTCGTGCAATCATGGGGTTTGTTTTGAAACAGGTCGTTGCAGTGAGTGGTGTCCCTCGCCTAATTCGGTTTACCAGCTGCGTTAACGTTTGAGAATATGCAGCAGACTCTCATAAACACACCCTGGTGTTTTTCACATATTAAGCATGCCACAACCATGTTTTTACTTTCACATACTCGTTTGTTGATAAGTTACATTTACCAAAAGCACACAGTTTATTACTGTACCGCTAAAGAGAATGTACTCTTAAAGGGCCTGACCTGATCTAAGCCTACATTAACGTTCGTTTAAAACAGACTTCTTTAAAGATTCCCTCCCTGACCTCCATCACCGCCAGGGGGTGGGGGGAGGTGCCCGAGGTGATGGAACAGCAAGGGCTGATCCCCGAGAGGCTCATGGCTCATGAATAGGGATCTAACTATACATAGATGCAGCGATTAATATTGATTCTTATGCTAAACAATGTCGCTAGACGTCACTACTTTCACTATTGTTTAAAAAGGTTTAATCCGAGTTGAATCCCGACCATGAATCGTGCCCTTTTAATTGAATCGCAAGGGGAAGCGTATTGTTAGATCTAGCTGACGCAAATCCGGGCCACGCTGTTGATCCTCGAACGTGAATAAGCTGTTTCTTGGTCGCCAAGCCTGGTTGCCGCTCATCGTTTTTTAATGCAGCATCGGATCACGATGGGCCGTGCGGCTCCCCCTGTTGCCTCCAGCTGAGGCACGGTTCCTTGTCATCTCCATGGAGCGGACACCAGCTGAGCGTCGGGTTCTCATTGGTGATACAGAGCTGACGGATTTTCTTTTTCTTATTTGCAGCACAGCAACTGACCCAGTAAGGGCACAGCTTTGCGACATGATAAGGAATTAATCGGAGGTTAGGTAATGAAATCGGAAACGGTTTTATGTGTTTTATAAGGTCTGCCAAATTAAATATAAAAAAT